CACACCTGCATTTCCCAGGTGTGCTCCCATTCCGCTGGACTTACCGTTACTCCCTTATCCTGCTGCTCCTGGGATGGGGATGCTGGGAATAACCTCTCCAGCTCGTTCATATCCAGCTGCTTCCCATTCAAGTCCCGGTCGTCCCTGTCCCTGCGAGCAGCCCCGTTCAGGACGAGCCCCGTGGCGCTCCGCTGGCTCCTGGGGATCTGGGGGGTTGACAGCTGCTCCTGCACGTTTTTGCACATCAGCAGCCTGAAAAATAAAGAAATGGAGCCTGACGGTGAGCAAAGTTAGTGCCTCCTCCATTCCTTCCCCCAAGCCTGAGTCTGCCTTATTCCTGTGCTACGTTCCTTCATCCTTAAATCCACCCTATAATGTCCAGCTGATATCACACTGGGGGCATGAGACCCGGGTGGGGACACCCACACAGCACCAGGGACCATCACCCCTCGTGAGCAGCAGCATCCCTACCTTCCTCGGTAGCCGAACATGAGGAAGAGGATGCAGAATATGATGCACGTGACGCCGATGTGGATCCCGATGATAATGCCAGTTGTGGAGGTTTTATTGTTCTGCTCATCCTTCATGCAGTCACAGGGAGGATTCAGCACTGCCAGGAAAAAAGGGGGAGAGGGCAGTCAGTGGTGCTACTCTCCTATTGCTCCTGCAACTTTTGGGGAGCCCAGAGCAGAAGCTAAAGCCTTGGTGGTGCTGGGGGTGGTGTGTGGGAAGAGGAGAGCAGGGTGGTCACAGGAAGGCAATCACAGCAAGCAAAGGACTGGCATGCCTGTAGGGAGCCAGCCCCATTACCTGCCTGCTGTCATTAGATACAATTAACGAACAAAAAAGACTCTGATGTTAATTTTTGCAATCCCCTGTGCCCAAGGTGGGAGGTGAGAGGTGCTCACCACATCAGGGCTGGCTGATACATGATGGAAAGCACTGAACAGGCAGATGCCAACGAGCTTAGTATTCACTCCAACACAGACAGAGAAGTAATAACTATCTCTTGAAGGTATTCCCACTGGAAGGCTTAAAAGGCTTCCAAGAGCAGGGGGATGTTTTTTACACATAGATGAATATGAAAAGTGTGATCAGTTAAGAGGGTCCTCTAGAGATTTCCCCTTTGCTGCCACATAATGCAGGGCTCATGCTCCACATCCATCCTCCATTCCAAAGCCATGTGTCCTCCCTTTGACCAGTGAAGGTCAAATATCCAGGAGAGCTCCAGGAGAGCAGAGATGCTCAGTGCAGCACATCTCACCTGAGGATGGCAGCTCTTAGCTTATGCATGGGGCTTTGTTCATGTTCATGACCTCACCTCTGGCTTGAGCTTAGGGGACAAAACTGGCAATTACAGGAACATTTGGTTTATCTTCGCCCCATTGGTAAAAACTGTCCTCAGATTGGACTGGCCAACAGGGGATGTGCACACCATGAGGCCACATGGCCTGCACCAAGTGGTCCCAGCCCAGCAGTTTTGCTTCAACACTAAGAGTGGCTGAAGATAAGGCTGGGGTAAAGCCATGAGGGCCTGGGAGACGTGTCTGGCTTCACCACCTTCCTGCAGAGCAGTTTCCAAACCATCACCGAGACACACATCCCATCTCACCTGTCCTCTCCACAGTTTCCCTCAAGGACACGAAGCGAACAGTTGAGTTTCCATCCCCATGCTGGTTATAGGCAAGGAGCTTGACTTCATACACCACCGACGCATCTGTCCAGAGGAGACACAAGAAGGACAGTTCAGGTGTAACCATGAGTGTTATCTCCCCAGGTGATGCTTATCTGGGAAACAAACATCCTGCCAAATACACACAGGATGCTGCAAACAAGTACCTGTTCCTGGTAAAGCACCCCAAAAACCTGGGGGAGAGCTGCAGCATTTCTCATTGAACGGCTGTGTAACTCTCCTGCTGATCACAACAGACCCTCCCGGGGTGGGGAGGGGACATGGATCAAGGCGCCACCATACTCACCCAGGTGGGTGATGTTGTATGCCGTGACGTTGCTGGCCAGTAGCACTGGACCTGTGTACTGGGAGAGGTGGACCTTGCGGTAATACAGCTTGAAGCCTTCGTGCTGGCCCAGTTTGATGGAGGGCTCCCACGTCGCCTGCACAGCAGTGCTGTTAATGACTTTAATAAAGAGGGATGGCATGGCTGGGACTCAAACAGAGAGAGAGAGAGAGAGAGAGAGAGACAGTTACATGTGCTTTCTTAGTCTGCATGATGAGAAATTCCTCAGCAGCCTCTCCCTGCGGTCACTGCGCCAAAGAATGTGCTAGCTGAGACTGAGAAAAATCAGAGCAGACCAGAATCTGGTTTAACAGCTTTGAACTTCTTCAGGGAGCTGAAGGAGTTTCTGAGGGTTTTCTCTGCTCAGATCAGCAAGCAGAGGCTACTTTTACACTTTG